CGGTCAAAAAAGTCCACATTCTTCGTTCAAAGACGCTTGCTATGCGTATGGATTATTGAATGATGACAAAGAATATATTGAGGCCATCAATGAGGCCGGATTGTGGCTTTCTGCCAATTATCTCCGTCGTCTTTTTGTGATCCTGCTCACTACTCATAGTATAACCATTCCTTTTAGAGTTTGGGATGCTACATGGCAGGTATAATCAGATGACATCATATATAATTACAGAAAGGCTGCCAGGGATCAAAGTAAGTCGTATAGTTATTGTTTGCGTTGTTGTTTTTATATATCTTTAAGATATTGATAGCCAATTTATCTTTTGTATTTTTTTTGAAATTGTGTAGCTGTTAGTCTATCTCAGGAGCAAGTTAAAGACTTTACTCTGGTCGAAATAGAACTTCTTTTACGTGTAAGTGGGAGATCCTTAAAAGATTCACACCTATGCCGGTTCCTGAAGATATTACTCTGGAGTCACGTGATAATCCTCTTATTCGGGATGAGAGGAATTACAATCGCGAAACTCTTAGAGTTAGAAACGAGCAGATGTTAGCCACTGTAACCAGCGAACAGAGAAGTGTTTATGATGAGATCCTAGAAGCAGTAAATAAGAACAAAGGAGGTATGTTCTTTGTTTGTGGTTCTGGAGGTACTGGTAAAAATTATTTGTGGAGTCTATTAGGCTCTGCTCTACGTTCCCAAGGTGATGTTGTTCTTAAGGTTGCATCGAGCGGGATTGCTGCGTTGTTATTAGAAGGAGGACGAACTGCGCATTCAAGATTTGCAATCCCTATCGTGGTTAATAAGTTTACCTTCTGTTCAATCAAGAAGGAGTCGAATCTTGCCGACCTGATAAGGATTGCTAAACTCATTATATGGGATGAGGCGTTGATGATGAGTAAAGACTGTTTCGAGACTCTAGATAGAACGATGCGTGATATATTAGAAGTTGATAAGCCCTTTGGTGACAAGGTCATTGTTTTAGGAGGGGATTTCAGGAAAATATTGCCAGTGATTCCAAATGCCGGGAAGACAGAGATATTTATGGCCACTTTGAATTTGTCACCTCTGTGGTACAAATGTAGAGTGTTGAGACTTACACAGAACATGCGACTTATAGCTGGAGATAATAGCCGTGCGATGCTTGAACGAGCTGCCTTTACAAAGTGGATCTTAGACATTGGTGATGGAACGATAAATGACGATGGAAGTGGTGAAGCCGTGATTGATATTCCTGATGATCTGTTGATTAAAGACTGTAAAGATCCTATAAAAACGATCGTCAAGGAAATTTATGGGAGTTCGTTTTCGAAAGAGACTGATCCTAAATTTTTCAAAGACCGTGCCATACTGAGTCCAGAAACGATGATGTAGATACGATAAATGAT